ACATGGAAAGGACAGATCTGCCCTTAGTCTTTACATAACAAATAGAGCAAAAATAAGACTGAAATAAATAACAACTGAAACAACTAAATGACCGATAGCTAACCCTAGGCARAYTAGAACACCTTCTACCCTACGAACACAGTGGGACCGTAGCTGTGGGGCCCACATCAGTGTTCTCTACAGGAAGAACACAACAAAAGAAATTTTTACAACAAAGTGTCTTCCATAGAAAGCGTGAAAAGGCATGTTGTGAATCTGCTGTAGTTCCTTCGCTTCTCTCCCTTTGATCCCCAGCCCAATCTTCCCCTCTCCCAGAGTCTCCCTAGATGTGAGAATAGCTTTATTCTTCAATTCCATGGCAGTTTCAGAGGATAAGTTGAGGCTCCAGCTGCTGGTAGGCATTGGAGTTGTTATCTTGAATTCTGTGGGGAGCTTACAGTGGGCCTACAGTGGTCCTATTTCAGCATATGATACCTCTTAAACTGAGGTCCAAACTCTTATTACAGGCTTGTGTATTGCTCTCTCTATTCATGCTACTTCTATTTTGGTGGAAGTTAAGTCCGGGAATGCAATTGGGTGGGCAAAAAACAAAGGGACTGGTCCTTGGAGGCTTGGACACTTCCTCCTTGAAATCTTATGAAGTGTCAACTTCTTTAAACGCCCTTTCTTTGAGCAGTTTGGTGGCTTCTTTTAATGAAAGTTTCTGTTATAAAAAAAAAAAAAAAGGTAAAAGCCATAGCTATTGCTCAACAACACTAAAATACATCTTTGAGGCAGTGATTGGGGAAAATGGAGAGAATGCTTATTCAATGGGCTACAATTTCTAAGGAGTTTATGGGCTTGAATTTTGACGAGTGTAGGGATCATTGGTATCATGTCATCATGGATGATAATTATGTAGTGAGAAGTATATGTCTTCCTTGCTATAATTGTAATCTTTCTCTGATGTTGGAGGGAAACTCTCCCTCCCTTTTAATAAAATTTGCACTACCCATCAAAAAAACACTAAAATACATTTTATTTTTCAAACATTAATTTAAAGATCTTATATCAGTTTTTTTCTGTTCTGAATAGGAGACCTAGCCATAGATCCATAGAAATTGTAAATATGCCAAAACTGGCAACATGCCAATAGAAAGCAAGAACACATTGAGATAGGTGATGTAATAGGACATAACATTTTAGTCATTCCCCAATATAAAGAGCAACATTTTCAGCATCTTCACAAAAAAAAGAAAGAAATAGCATCATCTTAAAATAAAATTACTATAAAACTTAGTTGCATGTTTTAATACAGAAAATTATCTTCAGTGGCTTTGTATTATGTATTTCCTTCAATGGATCTATATTTATTAAAAAATTCCTTCCATCATGCCAGTTGTATCATGTAAAGCATACGATTGATAAAAGAGTTTTTCATTCCCAAAAATCACATCCAATAAACAAGTCATCGAGCAGATACACATGTTTTTGATTGGCGACTGTTATTTTTTATTACATCAACAGACAGATACATAGTTGAAATAGGAAACTAATACATGAATAGACCACTGAAATGACAACTATGTTGCCTACCTCTTCCAACAGTGTCTTGCTTTTTATTCTCAAGATACCCTTTGGAGGGGCTGGGGGAAGATATTTCTTGGGAAATGCCCTTTTGAGCTGCAACAGATGGTAAATGGAATAAATATGCTATATCTGGAACCACTTGAAAAAAGAAAACAATCCCTAGATAAAAGTTAGTTTTCAAGTAAAACAAAACAAAAAGAAACTTCTTTGCAAGAAAATTCAATAGTAATTTGTAGACTTACTTCAGTAAATAGCTTTAGGAAATCATTGAATCTTCGAAGTATTCCTCGGATAGTGGTAATCCCTTCAGGTGATTGTATACCAACTTGAACCCTGTAAAACTGTCCCTAGAGTACGTTAAACAAAAGCACCTAAAGCAGTTATGAGAGGACCACAAAAGTTTCTGCATTGAGCAAATTCTAGAAAATATAGTTCCCTAAGGGTCCATTTGGTTGCTGAAAATTGGTATTATATTGGACTACTCACTTTTCAAATCTTTTTCCATGACAAATAACATAGAAATTTTATTAGGAAATGATATGAAGAGAAGAAAGAATGGAGGTAAAAAAGAGGGAAGGGAGGTAGGGAATGAAGGACATAGGGAGTAGGAGGCAGGAGGCCCAAGACAGCCAAGAAACATGCACAAAAAAATTAAAAAAAAAAAAATCAACCAATATGAAAATGCTAAACACACTTGGGCCTCGACAAATTCTAGAATCGAATTACAGACAGAGGCTGAACACATCTTAACGACAACCAATTGGGAAAAAGCACAATTCAGTGACAAACATGGTAGTATGGTTAGGCAATTCTAGCCATGATTTTGATCAAAAAAAAATAGCCTTGTTTGCCTCTCATATAATCAGAGCTAAGGGTGATAATGGTCTGGGCTTATGATTTTAAAAACATTATATTAGATGCACACATGATATTTTATATTATATAATATATAATATATGCTACACTTTATATACATGTCATATTATAATATTTGCATATGACATAAAATAACATAAGATAACACAAACAGCACATGCGCACACACACACACACTATTTTTTTTTTATCAGTGAACTGTAAGATTTATTAATTCATAGCCAAAGAAAGTACATTTCAGGGAGAGGCACGAGATGCTACCTCCCCTTTAAGGAGGAGAGATGGAGGAAACCATCAACCCTTTAGTTACTAAACATAACAAAGGACAAAGAAAATTACAGAGAAGCCCAATATAAGGAGACCCGAGTAGCCCCTTGTTTAGCAAGATAATCAGCCAAGGCATTAGCCGTTCTCCCCAACCACTGAAATCTGACTGTCTTGTCCCTTAATAGCCATTTGACCTTTTTTAAAATATCCTTAAACTCCCAAGTGACAGTACCCGGGTCGCCAACCATCCTACTACCACCTTGGAATCTCCTTCAATTATTAAGTTCTGCACTCCAAGTTGATAAGTAATCTGTATCCCTTGTGCCACAGCTAGGAGTTCAGCCCTCACAGAGTCTCCTATTCCCACCGGTCCCGAAAAAAAGGCAATGATATTGCTGTTCTCATTTCTAAGTACACCACCAATCCCAAACAGACCTGGGTTTCCCTGACTACTTCCGTCAAAGTTCAGCTTAACAAAACCCTCCATCGGTGGAGTCCAAGTTACTTGAACTCTAGGCTTCCTAGAGGAGGTGAGGGCAACTGCAGACCAATTCCTCATTAAATCATCAAAGGAATAATTATCAAAGAGCTTTAAGGATTTTAGCCACAAAATAGTCCTTGTAAGAATACAGTCTTTGACCTCAAGAACGCTTCTTTCCTTCTCCTGAAAAATTCTGGAATTTCTCTCTTCCCAAATAGTCCAAAGGAGAGCTGATCTTATACACTTCAATAGAATTCTCCCTCTTTTTGTGGTCCACACGAAGGTAGATGGGGAGAACAGCAAATTTACCTCAACTGGCAAGTTCCACCAGCACTCGAACAAGTCAAAAACCCAGTTCCAAATGGCTTCAGCAAAAGGACAAGAAATCAATAAGTGGTAACAGTCCTCAAACTGCGCTTTGCACAAAATACACCAGTTAGGGGATAAACACAAGAAGGGTCTTTTCTTCTGCAGGTTATTCATCATATTGATTTTACCGTAGAAAACTTCCCAACAAAACACAGCTATCTTTGGGGGAATAGGCCTAGACCAAGCTTCCTTAACTAGGAAAGTCCAAGGAGAGGAGCTAGAGCAAAGGGTGTTAAAGAAAGATGCGCAAGTAAACAACCCTTACGTTAAAGTCCAAATCCTCCTATCACAACTGAGTGGGTCCAAACAAACAGAATCAAGTAACAATAAGAGCTCAGAAGCTGATAAGGATTCCTCATCCCTCAACCCTCTACGGAAGCCAAGGTCCCAATTTGTAGACAAAGGGGTATACGGGGACAAAATAAAGGAGGACACAGGTTCTTTTTTATAAAGGGGAATGGAAAAGAGAGAGGGGAACACAGTCCTTAAGAGGCAAATTTCCCACCCAAGTGTCTTCCCAGAAAAGAACATGAGTCCCAAAGCAAGCATCATACCTTACAAAGCGGAGGAACTGGGGGAGGATGCCATGAATTGCCTTCCAAGGTGTTGCAAGAGTTGCCCGCCTGGATACCCCTGCATCCCAACCATTTCCGGAACAGCCATGGATACTCGCCACCACTGCATGCCATAACCTCTCCCTCTCTAAAGGCCATCTCCACAACCACTTGCCTAGAAGAGCTACATTCTTATAAACAATATTCCCTAATCCTACTCCTCCTTTCTCCTTACTTCGACTAACTATCGCCCACCTAATCAAATGATCTTTCTTCTCTTGCCCCGGCTCCCACAAGAAATCCCTCATCATCTTCTCTATCTTTTTAGCTTCCCTAGTAGGAATCTTAAAGACGGACAAAAAGTAAACCGCACACACACATACACACTCTAACACACACACACACACACACTATATATATATATATTTTGTGTTGGACTAGAAATGATCACCCCTTCTCAGTCTTTTTTTTTTATTTTAAAGATAAGCATAAATAAATAAATAATTAATTAGATAATAGTTTTTTGATTGTGGACCTTTAGATGGATTAGAACCTCATTATATACCTTCAATGGCCAACAGGTCTGCTTCAAATCTTAATGTCCATTACTCTCTGATAACCTCTGTTGAGTCAGTTGCATCATGGTTTTGACAATGTTATGAATTCTCCAATACAGTTACCTTAACCCTGGTGCCAGGGTTATGTCTCTACTCTCAGTTCATAGGTACTAAGATGCAGGATGCCACAACTGTCAGTGTGTTAGTAGGAAGGAGAAAGGAATTAGAGTTGAATGGAAATTTTGGGGAAGGAAATTAGTGGCCGGTGATCTTAAACATCATCATCATCCAAGCCTTATTCCAACTATACGAGGACGGCTACATGAATCTTGTTTCACCATTCCATTCTGTTTGATGCCATATCCATTGTTAAATTACCGGTGCTTAAAATCATTTCTTTGGTGAGGGTGTGGTTGGTTGCATTTGAATTGGTGATGTCTTATCACCAATGCTTGTACCTTTGTTTTTTTCTTTTTTTTTTCATAAAATTTCTCTTTGACTATCATAAAAAAAGGATAAGCAATGTAATAGGACAGCTTTTAACAAATAAGGAAAAGAAAAAATAAATTATGACTGGTTTTTTTTCTTTTTTATTTTCCTTTTGAATTTTGGTTCATTCGTGCAATCTCTCTCTTTCTCTCCCTGGGCAGATTTTTAGGGACTTGTTAGATGCTTGAATATCATGGTTTTTTTTCTTTTTTATTTGCAACTCATTTAAGCTGCTATAATGTAAACAAGAATACAAGATTGCTAGCATGATTGATAAGCTATAATATCAAGCACTAAATGATAGTACAGAAACATGGACAAGCATGTCTCATGTGTAAAGGCCACACAGTCATCAACTTTGAGGAGGAAACTTAAAATCTCACCACTATAGGATCAGACTCTCTGGATTTCGGAAGTATGACCCAAGAGGGAATGGTGACGCAATAACTCCACCCTGTATGAGGATCATGTGGCCAAACTGTGTCTCTTCCATCCTGAAAAGAAGAAACAACATAGCCTCAAGAGTAATTACACGGATGGCTCAAATGGTTGAAAACACACACACACACACTTATCATGCAGATAAAGGAGCTTGATCCCATAGTTCAACTGGTTGACTGACATGCACGGCAGACATTATATTACTGGTTCAATTTCAGTCCATAGTCAAAACTGTAAAGCATATTTGGCATGTGATCTTTAAATAGTTGCTACTCTCAGTAGAACTGGAACTAGCAAATGACAAGGATCCATTTAACAAGGAATAAATTCAGATATACCATTCCTTTTTATTTTCTATTAATAATGTTACTTTTTTTTGGTTTTACCAATAAAAAATAGAAACACTAAAATGATGAATGGCAAGAAATACAAACTAAAGCTCTTGCAGTCATTTCTTGATCAAAACCAAAGTGCTTATCTGGATAAAGGGAATTAAGACAAATTCAATAAAGGGAAGAATGTGAAAATTCACTTCAGGCAAGAATAAATTGCCTATTAGCCATTTGTGAAGGTATTGTATTATTCAGACCATCGAAATGGGCAACAACATATTCATTCAAACTTAATCAATATACGTGAATAGAATGTATGTAATACAATAAGTAAAAGAATGATTCAGCTACATTTTCCTTGTTCTGGGACAGCAGAAGTATTTTTGTCCCTTAAATTAACTACATGTTAAGTGCCTTTTGTCCTCTAGTCTTTGTCTTTGAGCTACATAACTTTATCTTAATTGAGTTTCTGATGGCATTCCGTTATATCTGTCCCCTTTATCTGAGTTTTTGTTAAAAAATAGCAGGTGATATATATACAAATGAGGCATGCCAAGCACCCCAAAAGCAGTTTGGGCTGGCCCAGATGCATTAAGTGGGCTAGGTTATTTATTTATTTATTTGATCGGTAAGTGGCCTAGGCAATATAATTTAAGTTGTTGCCTATCTACTCTCTTGCTGCTATTCTGTTTTTGCAAAGGTAAAGTATAAAGTATTAGATATCAAAAAGTATATACAGCTGCCATTTGTACAAAGAGTTTCTGTGCATCAATGACATAGGGCTACAATGGGATGCCAAAAAATCTACAGATAAAAAAGAGTGACGAAACTCTCTATGAAAGTTCATGACTGACTGAACTTTTCCACTATTTTGGTTGAAGAAAGTTGAGGATTTTTGAATTTGTACAGTCAAGCACTAAGTCAAATCATTGTGCTAATTATACCACCTTATCATTCTTCTTCCTAGAGAAAATCTATGGCATGAATTACACAATCTATGATCCATAGAAAAACTCAGAAATGGTTATAATCTAGACAACCAATACACATTGACCTAGTTTACTGTCATTTTCATAGTTGACCTAATTCCCTTCAAATCCTATTTCCCAATATGAACCCATTTGTCTTGAGATTTTTGCACTTATGAACCCAGTTTGATTTTAGAAGGCCCAAGTACACCAAGATAATCTAACCTGTATTATCTCTAAAAGCCTCTATAATTCCAGAGGATATTGGTTTCCAATTTAAAGACCATCAAAGTTGTGCTTCATCATTCTAATAAGAGGTCAGGTTACTATGTAAATACAAACTAAAACATAACAACTGACTGCCATCCTCTAACAATCACATTTACTGCAACTGCAATTTTAAATTTGCAGCTAATGTCAGTAGCCAACCTTTCTTGATCATCCTAAGTGCCCAATTGTATAATTGTATTATTTATCAAAAAAACACTGTATAGTTGTATTAAAAACTGCATATAAAACATCAAATTCAAAATTGATGTTTTCATTGTAGGCTTTGTAGCAGCAAAAACAAAACCATTTTATGCTAATAGAAGACAGAAGATGCTCTTTTGCAAAGCCCATGATTACTTTCTTCTTAGATTAACACGTGAAATACATGATCTACCAACTTGTCAGTTCACATCGTTTGCTTGGTAAGAAGTCTATCATATGAACATAAACCACCCACGGGTATAAACTGCCTAAGATCAATTGGTAGTGAAAACCATGTTAAGTGTCAGATTTACAGATAACTTCTCCCAATGTAACAGCTGAAGAAAAGTCAGCACTTCATATCTTTAAATCACTTGCTCAATCTGCATAGCATAGCTAGAACATCTAAATGACTGTGCAACAACTATTTGTAAGGTCATGCGATCCAATTCTTAAGAACACGTGTTTTGGCTTCACATCTCTATCAAATCAGCTGAACTTAGAAGTATTCCAAATAAATTCATCGGATCCACGGGTGACTGCAGAATGGACAAATTAGCTCCAAAGTAACAACTCCGTGAACCTGAACACCCCAATTATGCAAATAGATACTAAACGAATCCAAATTATCATTATTATTATTATATAAAAGAATTTTTCAGAAATGTAGTCATCAACTCAAAGATGATGCACAACTACCAACTCCCAGTAGTTCTAGCAATCAATCCGAAAACTCGAAATTAGAATTTCTTTCCACAATTCAGAAATCCGTTACTCAATGGAGGATCACATACTCGCCCTATAATTCAACCCCATTAAGAATTAACCATTAAAGATCAAATTAAAAGCTTACCCATTTCTTAGGCGGGGGACTCCAATCCATTCCCAGAGGAAGAGGTGAAGTTCCATCATGTCGATGCTTCGGGGGACTCTGCTTCAGCAGCGTCCTATATCGGTCCATCGATCTGCAGCTCTCAGACAATCGAAACCGAAATCTATGAGGGAAAGAAGAGCTAGGGCTTCTGCAGCGATCGGATCGGAAGAAAAGCTACCAACAGAAGAAGAATCAAGAAGGGAGAGGAGTGTGGTTCGTACAAGATCATCCTGGCTCTGTCAGTATGTGAGTTTCATGCGGAGAAAAGGAAGGGAAGGACAGGCGCAAGTTAAGAGGAGAAAAAGAGGGACGTGGCTAGACGGAGCCGGTGTGTGCCATGTCCCCGTCCCCTCTCTTTCTCAGACACCTGCATTCCTGTTTCATTAGTCGTCGATGACGCTTGGCCTGGCTCCGCCTGATTCGAATCGTCAATTATAAGAAAAATTTTCTGGAGTTCTCTTTATCTCTCTCTCTCACCTCACCTACCTGTCTTACTTCCCTCTCTGGCATCAATTCCACGCCAAAGAGGAGAGAGATCAAAAAGAGGTTAATTTGACTCTTTTGTGTTAACGAAGATGATGGACATGGACTCAACCCTGTCTCATGGGCTTGGACCTTTGTTACCGAGACTGTGTTTGGTTGCAATGCAAATAAATTTGTACTGATGCAAAATTGTAGCAGTGCAAATTATTTTTAATGTAAATTCTGACTTATTTTTGTTTCAAATTTTAGCTTATTTTATTTAATTTCAATACAAATTAAGAAATTAAGAAGAATAAAATTAAATTAAACGAGAATTTACATTTATTTCATTTATACTTCCATGCATTTGTACCAGTGCAAATAAAATTGCACTTCAACCAAACACAGCACAAAGTCCAAAACTCAGTTAAAACTGTACTATCAAAAACAATGGAAAAGAAAAGGAATAAAATAATGAGAGAGGAAGAAAGACACCCGTTTGGAAGGCAATTTGATTACAGTGGTTATTCTTGCTTTGAATCACCATTTTGTTCTTCAATGGAAATGCCTAGTTTGTCAAAACTTTCGACTCTTCTGAGTTCTTTTTTTTTTTTTTTTTTGATATTCAGCCTCAATGTTGCCTCCTGTTTCAAACTTTGTAAATTTTTTGGTATTATAATATAAATCCTTTGTTTAGAGGGAAAAAACAAAAGGTAACAGGTTGAAGTGGGGAAAAATCTATGATGCTGGAAAAATATGATAATTTTTATTTGATTTTATTTTATTGGTAAGTTGTGGTTGAGTTTAAGCAGCCTCTTGTTTTTCAAAATTAAAAAATAAAATTTAAATTTTTAAAGAATCATAAAGATTTGAATGTGCTCAATATCTTCATATTTGATATTAAGCACATATTGAATGTGCTCAAATAAGATTTGATGACAGTGTTAATTGTTTATATTAACATCAATTCTAGACAATAATTAAGAGTTTTTTAGGTAAATAAGAGTGAAAGAAATCATATTGATATTATATCAATAAGGGTCCATTTGGTTTGTGGATGAAATCGGAATCAAAATTTTTTGGATCAAAATCAGAATGGTCTATTCTCGTAGCCTGTTTGGTTCAAATGAGAATCGGAATGCATTCTACAAAGAATGGGAATAATACTTTGATTCCGTCCAACCAAACAATTGGTTTGATTCCAAACCCCTATTCCTACAAACCAAATGGCCCCTAGATTTTTTTTCTTTTTGTAAAGTATATATGAATAAATCTATTTAAATCATTTTTATATTTGAAAGAGAAAAACAATCAATCTTGATTTATGACATATTAAGAGGGTCATTGTCAATGCTTACAATTTTGTTTTTGAACTCCTCACCCGCATTTCTTCTTTTTTTTTGTATAGTGAAAGAAACACCTTACTCTTGTTTTATTTACTAGCCAATCGACAGTGATGAAAAGGCCATCTTGGAAAGATGGTGAGTACTTTATCTCTCAAAAAACCATTCAACCTAAAAGATTAAGCTATTAGGTGAGATTCGCCTCATATGAAATCCTATCAGGCTTAAAGCATGGATAGATACAAACCTACTTATACCTTGTGTTGAAATTTAATTGATTATAATGGGGCATTCAAGGTAATGAGGACCCAACACTAAACCACTTGATCAAATAGGCTTTGATACCATCTCCAATAACAGTTGATCAACTTAAAAACTTATTATTAGGTAAGGTCCCTAAATAGGCTTTTATTCTTATCAACAGATGATGGTAGGTTTTATTTTGTCATGGCATGTAGGAGGTCTCTATTTAACCCATTTTATAGTCTTCTTACTCTCGTCTTTGGGGGAGTTAAGATGTTTTCTTTCTTTTTTTTTATTTATTTCAACACTTTCAAAGGATGGCCATGACCTTCCTTTTAATATTCCAATCAACAAACTCATCATCTAGAGAATTCTCTCTCTCCACCTTGTAGTCTCTTGATCAATGTACTTCCTAACCTTAAGATTAGGGTCAATCAATCAAATTGACACTCCATGTACAAGGTGAAATTTTTCAATACAAACCATTTGATGTGGTCACTTCTTTTAGTATACATTTGGCATCGATGTTGCAGATACAATAAGTTTTCTTAGAAAACGGTGCTACTGATGTGTGGGTTGGAATGGTGTCTTTTTTTTTCTATTTGGAAATATTGCTACCAGGTAGGATGTTTCTTGGAGCAACAACAACACTTTTTGTTTGGTTCTAGTGCTCCATGTTTGTTTTCAACACTGGTACCCATTATAGGAAGTCCATATCACTGCCACATCACATCCTCGTTGGTAGCAATGAGTTGCAATCTGAGAAAATGTTAAACTCGGCATTACTCCAAACCACACCTTCTCGATTTCCAAGGCATGGCTTAGAGCACCGTTTTTTATGGAAAAACAGTTCCAAACAAACAGGCGTTTCTTGGAGCACGTTTTTTCGACGTGGCGCTGATGTGTCACCGTTTTCTGGAGCAACAGCATCGATGCCAAACAGATGCTTAAGGGCCATGTTTATATCACCCAATTATCTTTCCAAAATCTAATGTTATTTATAGAACCAACAACTCAGATTCATTCATTTTTTTAATTAGGTTTTTCCATTTTAAAAGATGTGCAAGTAGAATATTATAAAAAATATTAAAATGTTTGAGGAGAACTTTCAAGATTATTATAAAGGCATGCTATTAATTATTTGTTTTTGAAAAAGTTGATAACATTACAAAATTCACTAGGAGTGCAAGTCAGATACCCAATTTGAAGAATTTACATTGTATCAAGCGCAAGCTTTCAGGCTGGGCTCAATAAAATTTTAACAATTTCCCAACCTGAAATCACCCATGTTGCACCCTTAAAATTAATTCACTAGCAAAAAGCCAGTGGTTATTTTGTATTACATTTTACTCTCAAAATTATTACATTATTAATTTCCTTTATTTTTAACATTTTTTCTTTATCAACAATTTTGTATTTTAGCTTTACCTTCAAAATAAATACTGGATTATTTTGTCATTGAAGATAAATTTTCAATAAATTAAATAGTTTTTATCATGTGATAGATAAGTAAAACCACCAGACTAGAGGGTTTCTACTTTAGACAAGTGATTACATCTATCTTCTCAAGAAAGAGTATCTAAAGATCTCAAAGACTCAAACAAAAGCTTTCTACTTTAAACATGTGTCTACCCATCATTTCAAGAAAAAAATTCTAAATAGTGGTTATTTCCACTCACAAAAGAAAAAAAAAGTTGTAATTACCTCTACTCTCAAAAAAGTACTCACTTCAAATGATGGGGGTCCATATTATTAATGAGTGACCAGCTTTTCTAATTGAATTTTATTAAAATGTAAATATTTACAAATAAAATATGATTTAATCTCTTAAATCAAATAAAAGATCTAGCTTATAGTCACGTGCCAAATAGAATATGTGCGTCAAAATAGTGGTTGCCTCTTCTCTTAAAAAAGTATAAAATACATGACTACTTACACTTAAAAAAAAAGAAATAATAGTTACCTAAACTAATGCTCACTTTAAATGATGTCTGACCCATATCAATGATAACCAACATTTCCAATTTAATTTCCTAATTCAAATAAAAATATTTATAATAAAGATTTTCAATTTGTTAAACATTGAGTTCAAATTTGGTCCCAACATGCTACTATAGCCGCACATTGGGAATATCTCTCTTGTCATTCATGGGGTGATGTTCTTGATACACGGTTGTAGTGCCTTGTCTAAGGCATATGTTGGTGGGACCAAATTCAATCTAAATTAATGTTGTATCATTCTTGTAGATAAATTGGGTCATTTATGACAAATTAAACATTATTTAATCTCCTGAATTAAATACTAAATCAAACCAAAACTTATTAGGGGTGATCATTATTAGTGGTATATATACATACATACATACATACATACATCTATATATATATATAAATTAAAGCCCTTAAACTAGAGTGATCTACTTTAAACAAGTTGTTGCCCATCTTTTCAAGAAATAGTATCTTTTTTTATGGATCTCAATAAATAGTATCTAGAGAATGGTTCTTTCACTCTCAAATAAAAGCCTTTTGCCAATTAAGAAGTGGCTCAATTGGTAGTAGCTGGTTTGTTCTAGCAAAGACGGGGATTTGAATTTCATTACCACTAAATTTGGGGAGGGGGCTATACTACTCAAACAGCCCCTATGGGGGACTTAGGCATACCACCAAATTTACCCAAAAAAAAAGCAACAAAAGTCTTCTATTTTAGGCACCTCACTACCCATCTTTTAAATGAAAAGGACTTCTAGAGTGGTTATTTACACGCTAGAAAAAAGGTAGAATAATTATCTCCATTTTTAAAAAATACTCACTTTAAATTATGTCAGAGCCATATTAATAATGACCAACATTTCTAACTAAATTTTATCTCAAAGGTTTGGGGTTTGCATGTAGTTTGTAGATTAACAACTTGTTAGCTGAAGGGAATGCTTTAAAGTTTTGCTAGAGGAGAAGTGATCCTCCACGGTAGATTATCTAGACAATTGCTAAGTGCAAAGCTTACACTAGACAAATCCCCCATTGCTCATTCATTTTTACTCCTAGACATGCCAATAAAGCAGCCCACCTTGTGGCCCAATATGCTCTAACCATGAAGAATGTTCACACATGGTCTAGAATTCCATATTTCCTCAATGAATATATCTCAAATGATTGTTTTATGAGTAATGAATGAATTTGCCTGGTTAGGTTTCTAAAAAAAAGATAATTAAACATGTATACTTTGGCCATTGCAAAATCCTTCATGTTTTAAACAAATATGTAAATGCACCCCTCCCATTAATTGTCTTGATCGAAAATGGTGAATAAGCTAAAGTTTTAAAATCTCTTGACAGACTTCATTGAGTGAAATTTTTATCAATTATCCCCAAAAGGGTGATTCATATTATATAGGCAAGCTACTATGCACTTCATTGAGTGAACAAGGCCCAAAGTTGGGGTTGGACTTAAACCTCCTTTGTTAGCAAAAACATCATTCTCAACTCATAGAGTG